TCGATTGTGGAGTGATGATTGCAAACCACGATAATTAAACAGTTATTTCGCAGGCATTTACCAGAATTATCATTTTTGGTCGTAAATTTAACTAAAAAGTCTCCTTCTGGACTAATTGCAAAGTCTCTCGAAAGGTTTTCTTCTACGTAGCCAAACTCTTTATACTTAATACTGAATTCAAAGGGTATATTAGCAACATCGATTTTATATCCTTCTTGTTTTGACATAATGAATAATTTATTCCTTGTAACCTTTTTGTGTTAACAGACTATTAATGGGTTTAAATAAGAATAGGGCCAATTTTTTTGTATTTAAAATATCTTATGTGGCTTAAAATACCTGAAGTAAATATTTATTTATTGTGGCTCAAGAAATCAATATTTTTATTTTTATACAAACTGTGGAGATTTTTTAACTAAGCATTTTAAAAATACTGTTGTATATTAACGTTAAAGATTTGACGAATTCTTGACATGGCGATATGCTAACTTATAGAATGATTACGTTATTGATATATATTACATAAAATAGTATTTAATCTATTGTTGTTAGATCGAATCTTTTTTACTTGGTGCCTAAAGAAATCTAAGATCTAAAACCTGCAAAAGATGAAATATGAAATCCAAATCGGAAATGCCGAAGGCGAAACCTGGTGAAGACTTGAAGTCAAAAAAAGGCTGAGCTATAATTAGTAAGCAACTTCCGTTATTAAAAATAAAGCCTTGAATGTATAAATATTAGACATTTTTATTATTGGACATATAGATACATAGAGATATAAATATGTTAATTTTTATGCGTCGATATTATACTTGCTGGCAAAACCCGGATAAATCTAAAACCCCAAAAAACAAATTAATTTTATAAAAAATCAAATCAAAAAAAATAGGTTTGATATTTTGTAAATATATTATAAATAGCTATAAGAATACTATATATATCATTTGTTTAAATAAAGGTTATTAATGAAGTTTTTGAGATATTAGTTTGGGCTTAAGTTTGGGATTTGGGCGTGGACAAACCAAACTATAATAGTTTTGGATTGGGCGGCAAGTATAGTCGATATACTGAATTACAATGACCGGGGCTTCTCGTTATCGACTGTTAACCATTTACATATAATTATACCAAAATAAATTTAACGTTAGCGAATTTTAGAACTAGCAGCAAAATGTGCACAATAATGCTTAATACTGAATAAGAATTAGATTCTCCAAAATTTACACGTTATTAGTGTTGGCAGGCGAAACTGCTTTTGGCAAATGGCGAAAGACGAAACTAAACCCGAAACCAGGCGAAACTCTGGCGAAGCGGTGAAACTCTGGCGAAACCCCGGTAAAGTTGAAACCCCTGGGAAAGCCAAAACTCGGCGAAGATAAAATCCTCTTAGACTTAGAAAAGACTGAGCCATGTTAGTAAATCAAAATATTTTGCATGTGGTTATTAAGTACAGCATGTGTCTTATTTAAAAATGTACAAAAGCAATAAACAAAGTGATAACCTTTCGTTTGTATTCAAATATTATTAAAGAAAACTAGATTTCCAGCTTTTAGAACTTCGAAGTAAGTAAATTCAGGCTTGAAAATTCAAAACCTAAAATCTTATATGTTCTGGCTCATTTCACGATTTCGATCAATTCCGAATTGACCTATTATTATTGCTCGGTCAGATGACTTTATTCAAAACACAATGCATAACTTTATTTAACAAATCTGAAAAACATATGG